CCCCTTTTTGGCACTCTTAGTCTGGGCTGGAAAGGCTGTTGTTTCAGGAGGTCCTTCTGGGGCTAGGAAGGTGCAGACCATGTGGACAAGTTCTCGCTTTACTGTGCATTTACTGTGTGACCACGGGATAGTATCGCTCTCTCTGGTAGTACCCTGCAGCTGTCCAGCTCTCACGGTTCCTTCCCACTGGGTCTTAAATGTGACAAGTGGCTCCAGAAGGCTGAAAGAGGGCCCATCTCTTCAGGTTGGTAGGAGCCAGCGAGTTACTAGGAGAATATGTGTCCTCTTCCATTGCACAGCCCAGGCACTTCCATGATGTTGACTCCAAGTGACTGGACTGGTATGTTCATGAGATCTGGACTCCTGCCCTCACTCCCTCCATAATACCATCTGGTATCCTGGGAAAGCCCTAGCCCCTCTTTGGGACTCAGTTTCCTCACTTGTACCACCAAAGTATCTTGTCACACCAAATGTTCTCCAAGTGCCTTATTAGAACTATCTCTCAGCTGCATCCCTCTAGGCCTGTACCAGATAAAGAAAATGGCCTCTTCCTGGGGACTCCCAGGCCCTGCTATGCCAGGAAAAGCCCTTATCTCCTTCCTGAAATGAGCTCCCACACTCCCACTTCACTTTACCAAGCATCTGGCATCTATGACAGCCTTTTAGTGCCAACCCTCTCCTCATTCACTGTAGTTTCTTCTGCCCTTCCCAGGAGGCAGGATCGCTCCTATTGAGTGGAAGCCTGGCAACGAGAGGGATTGAGGTGACGCTTCCTTTAGCTTGAGGAAGACAAAGTTCAGTGAAATATGACCAGAGAAGACAGGATTGACAAGGATATATATTAAGATTCAGTATGACCTTGAACAAGGCACACATTCTTGCTGAGCCTATTTCCCCTTCTCTAAAATAGAAACAACATCTGCTCCACTGAAAAGCTGTTAGGATTAAGTGCGATAGCTCTTGTAAACAGCAAAAGGCAGTGGCCAGTATGTTTCAGGGGTGCTGCCTTCAAAGCATTTGTGTAGAAGAGATGGCTTGTTTTGGGGCCCTGGGGAACAGTAGTAAAGGCTCAGGACAATTTGGGAAGACACTGGCCCTAGAGCTGGCTAGTCATGGCAACCTTCCTGGTTCTGTTCCTTTCTGGGAGGGAGATGTACAGGCAGAAGTCACCCAGCCTCTTGTGATATCACATCCAGGGTCTTCGTCTTGGAACTTTAGACTGCCGTGTTCTTTGCTCCAAAGACCTCCTCCCTTCCAACTCCTCCCTTGGCCCTTGAGCTGGAGACAGCTTTTTCTTCTCTAGGTTTAGGGTCTTCTCTCTTGAGAAGAAGATCTCTGTAGTTTTTAATAGGAGCCCTGCTTACATAAATGGGGTAAATTCATAGTCCCCCTGGACCTCAGCATGGCTCTGGTAGACACTGTCTCCTCCAACTGCTTGTGTTAGTTCACAGCCAGGGGCACCCTGAGAGTGGAGGTGACAGCTGGGAAGGAGCTTTCACCAGTGTCCCAGGTTCAGCCTTCCATGGTACCTCCAAGCTACACAAAATATCCAGTCCCATCCCCTCCTACGCTGCTGTGGTTCCTCAGCCTCTCGGGCCTAGAGCACCGAGTTCAAAGCCCTTCTTCAGGACCCTCATTAGACTTCCCCAGTCCCTACTCTACTCTCTTCCTTCCTCCACAGTGTCCTTTCTCCAAGTGTGTTCAATAACACCTTCCTTAGACTCACCAGTGAGTCTATGGTTACCATTGGTCTAATAGCAGGAAATTAATGCAGCTTTAACATCCAGAGAGAGTACGATGGCAGGCAAACTGCACACCCACTTTTCACCTGCCATCCATTTATTTATCCATTCAGCAAGTATTTACCACGGTCCTATTGAGGGTCATAACTTGTAATGGACTAGGCACAGACCTTGTCCGTACCTTGGGGGACTCAATCATCTGAGGAACTTTCATTGGGCTAGTCCTGCCCAGTCACTGCCTAGTTCAAAAGGCTGAGACTAGGACGGAACGTTAGTGACCATTCTCAGGGAAGTGGGTAGCTCTTACAGAAGGGTCCTTGCACATCGCTTAGTCCCATGTCCTTGGAGGACTTGAGAAAACCGAGGCACAGGGAAATATGGGTTGTTCCAATGCTAAATCATAACAAAAAAAAAATTCCCTCAGTAAAACATCTATATATTGGTGCCTCAGATGTATTTTCTTATTTCTTCCTTTCAGCAATCTGGGAAGTTTGTCTTTGCTTCAGAGGGAGGGATGGAGAAGAGTGAAAGAGAATGTTTCACTAGGAGGAGCTGGACATTCAGATAAAGTTCCAAACTCTGTCCTGTAGGTCCCTCTGGGTCCCCTCCTGATGTCATTTCCAAGAGACGGAAACAGTGTCCACTGCAGCAATTCAGACAGTGGTAGGGTTCACTTCTTGGTGGAGACCCAAGTGTACCCAGTGAAATCTGGGTTCTATGCCAGGCATAGCCTATGACTTCCTGTGGATGTTATCTGGCTTGTCACGCGGCTGCACATGAGGCTCTGCAGAGGAACGGCAGAGGAGTGGTCCAAGTGTGTGTTCTCTTCCAGGAGTTTTCCTAAACAGCCTCAGCTGCCCAGAAACAGTCTCTTCTGCCACAGCCCTACATACAGAGAGTTCTTGGTGTTTTATAGATGGGCCCCTTTTGTTTTCCCTTTTGTTCTTTCTGTAAATCCTTAAAAATGGGGACTTATTTATTTTACTTCCCATAGAACCCCACAGCAACACTGAGGGCTGTGGCTGTAAGGAACTTCCTGTCTTATGGTGTGCTTTCAAGGTTCTGGTCACTTCTGAATCTGTCTGCAAGCTAGAGAAGTGAATATTGACTTCAGAAGAGGAAATGACACACAGCCCAAAATGTCACAGCTGGGACTCAGGCTCAGGCCCAGTCATTGGGCCTGCATTTGTGCCCCTTCCCCTCAAGCATTTAACAACTCCACTGCTTTGAGAGCTGTTTCATCTGACACACCAGAAGGTTGGAAAGGGGTCTATACACTCCAGAAATGTTCTTCTGGAAAAATAGATAACACAGTCATTTGGGCCTAGGTCCGCGTTAAAGCAATTAACAGAGATAAGTACATCAACCATCCTCAGTAATTTTGACTCTACTGAGATTCCCTAGTCTTTTTCATATTTTAAAGTCTTCTGGGACAGATCATATTCACACAATGTACAAATGGCACCCAAGAGAGAAAGCCATTTAGTGTGAGCTGAGGGTAGAAAGAAGACAGAGATAAGAAGGAGGCCACATATAGCAAGAAGAAAAATGAGGTAGACTATAGAAGACTATCTGAGGGTCACTTGTTCTCCAGAGGCAGGCTGCTTGCTTCTGGAAAGACGGCCTCAAGTGAACCATCAAGAAACTCTGCAATTTCCTCTCAGTAGGTGCATCCAGAGAACACAGCAGGCTGCTGCTCTGAGACATACTGAACACAAGAGATTTTAGCCGATCAATCCCAGCTCCAATGGGGTGTGAGTTTTCCCAATGAGCTCTGAAGCTGAGTTCCCATCAATCCCCTGACTTCTTCCAGAGCCGCCTGCCTGGCTTTCCATATTTCATCCCCCTCTGCTTGCTCACCACAGGCCGGGACAAATACATACTGGATGGATGGAGAGCAGCAGCCCGTCCAGGCACCATCCAATTCACACTGCCACAGGGCTCAGAGCCAAATCATCAGGAGCTACAGCTAACCCAGCAGCTGGCTGCAGGGAGAGGAGCCAGGGGATGTCTCTGCTCTCAAGGTCAAACAAGGAGAACATCTGGGCCCCTTGGGTCTGGAAAGGCCTCTGCTTTCCTTTCATGCCACAGTGAGGTCCCCACTCAAGACATCCTGCCAACAGTGTTTTATTCTCTGGGAAACTTTCCTAAAGGAGAGTTAAATCATTAAATCTTTGTTTTGTTTATTTTTTATTACTTCTCTGAAAAAAAATCTGTACATATTCTGATCATAATCATCCCCTTCCCTCAATTCTTTCCAGGCCTACCTCACCTCTCCTACCCATTCAACATTGTGTCTTCTTTTTTAAAAACAATTATTTTTATTTATGTGCACTGGTGTTTTTGCTTGCCTGTATGTCTGTGTGAGGGTGTCAGATCTCAGAGTTGCAGACAGCTGTGAGCTGCCATGTGGGTGCTGGAACCCCGGTCCTCTAGAAGAGCATTCAGTGCTCTTAACCGCTGAACCATCTCTCCAGCCAGTTTTCCCTTTTAAAAAACCCTATCAAACCACTTTGTGTTGCCTATACACTCCAGTGTGGTCTTCACTGGAGAGTAGCTGACCTACCAGGGGCCACAGCCTTAGAGAAAACTGACTCTCCCTCTCCCAGCAGCTATCAATTGCCAAAAGTTCTCAGTCAGGTATGGGATTTGCATCTACTTCCTGTCTCCATGCCCGGGTTTTGTCTGGCTTGAGTCTGCATAGGTCTTGTGCATGCTGTAACAGCTGCTGGGTAAGAATGATTGCTTTTCCTCTCTAGTGTGGTGCATAGCACCTTCCAACACTATAAAAGCTAGCCAAGCAAATGCCAGCTTGATTTCTCCATATTCTATGATTCAAATATGTGGTATCTTCAGCAACAGAGTCTTACTGGCAAGCTCTGGAAAGTAACCAAGAGCACTGGCTATAGCTTATAATTTTTTTTTTTTTTGGGGGGGGGTCTATGCTACTAGCCAGCAACTCCAAAGGAAGTAGTTAATACCTGACACTAGGATTTTTTTGGGATGTCTGTGACTTCTAATAGAGGCTTTGCCATCATCTCATTACAGTGTTTCCACAGGAGATTGGAGATATATATATATCTTATGTTAAATAGTAACACTTGTCTCACAGCAGAGAGGCTGAGGACCTGGTTGCTGCCTGGTCCTAGAGGCTGGGTTCCCAGCAGCTGAGTCGTCC